ATATCTATTTTAGTTTAAATTAACTATAGCTAGTAATGCAGCTACTTTAATTCTTAATACTTTCTAGCTTTTAAGTTAGTCTTTTTATATCTCTAGCATAGATGTATGTAAACTTTTTAGAGTTAGTATTTTTAAATTATGTCTACGCTGCCTTCTAAGTAGGCCTTAAAATTTTAAGTTATGCTTATGCTTTAATGCTATAAGCTCTTTAACTCTCTTATTTAGCATTTACTAGTCTAGTGCTTTATCTAGATAGACATAGAAGCAGTCTTTTAGTGCATAGATGTGTTTATATGTAGAACATTTAGTGCTTTCTGTTTTAGTAAGTTTTTAGCTTAAAAATAACTTTTTATTATCTTCTTAATAACATTAATGTTAAGGTCTACTTTATTTTCTTAATGTTATAACTTCTACACTATAGGCGTTTTTATTTATGCCCTAGGTAGTCTTTTTACTTTTAGTAAAGTATAATAAGTTATCTATTATAAAGGTAGCTTTATGCTTTTTTATATGTATTAGATAATTTAACATTATGTGTTTTTAAAAGCGCTTTATTATTTCTTTTTAATTTATGTTTAGTGTAAACTGTCTACTTTCCTAAAAGGTTATAGACTAATAAAGAGCAACTTTATTTATAGTAGTTAAAAAGTTCTTTATAATAGCATTAAACTGTGTTGTTTTTAGAACATTTTATGTCTCTGCTTCTATAGCAGCGTAATTATACTCTGCTAGCTATAGGTTCTATATGCTTGCGTTTCTTAGCAGCTTTAGAGATGTATTATATTAGTTACACACATGTTCTTGTTTAAATTAGTTATTAACACTTACTATAGCTTTAAGGTTTATAATCTACTGTCTAAGTAGTTAATCTAGGGAACAGCATGTGCACTGCAGATGCAGGCTAACTGTTAACTAGATAAAGACAATAATCTATTAAAAGCTTAATTACTCTCTTTTATAATTATGTCTATTACTTTTTTACTTGTTAGCCTTAATCTTATAGTATTTAATAGCTTCTTTAAAGGCTCTAACACTGCTTATTAATAGCTTGTTTATGTGCGTAGGCGTTTTAACATTAGAGGCTAGTGAAAACTTAGCTATTAGCAGCATCTCTAGAGCTCTTAGTTTAGAGATTATTTAGATGGTCAACTTAGGATCCACTTGCGGCCAGATGCTGTGCGCTACACATCTCAATTGCAGCTGCATCATCCAGGCTCTGTAGTCGGTGTGGTCTCAAAGGACGACTGTCGCGTCTCAAGGAGGCTGGGTGGTCATTTTGTATTAATAGAGGCACTAAGACTCTTAATTATTAGATTAAAGCACTGTTTCTAGGCTTCCTAAGATAAATAATAGGTTTAGATATAATGTATAAGATAATAGTTAATTATATTAATTTATTAATCCTTTTTCTGCTCTACTTGTGTTGCTTAGCTTTTTGTTTTGCTAATCTAAGTCCCTCGCGCACCTGCCCTATGCGCGACCAGCTTGCAAAATGCTGCAAAATGCTGCAACATGCTGCAAAATGCTGCAATTTGCAGCAACATACTGTTCAAGCTTATTGCTCGTACTATGTAGCAGCTTTTGTCAAGCGTTCCTCCTGTCTTGACAGTAGGTGCGCATATCTGACAATATAGTGTAAGATATATAATTAGATTACTTTTTATTAAAAAGTAGCAATGCCTACTTAGTCTATGTAAAGAATAAACTAACTATTAATTACAGCTTTTAAATAAAGTTAGAATTTTAAACTATATACATAGGGTTGCATGCGTTTGCATGCTTTGAATGCTGTTGCATGCAGGTATGCACTTGCATGCACTGCATGCATCCGCATGCACTGCCTCCTGCTTATTAGACAATGCATTCTGCTGCGCACTAGTCTAGAAGCTTGGTCTATTCCTTGTCTGTTAGGTCACGTGACTTGTTGGGCAAGGGATTAAGGACTTTCTATCCTTGATTGTTCAAACAGTGGGGCACAGCTAACTAGTTGCTTACAGTCTAATCGTGGGTTGTAACAATAACCTACCTAGCACTAGCACTAGAGTAGAAGCTTAATAAAGAAAATTTGGCTGTTTATAACATTTATAAGATAAAAAGCTTTCTTAATCTATTATTAGTCATTATATAAAAAATTTACTTATAAGCTTTAATTATAACTTAAACTTATATAAACTACTAAGAATTTTTAATTACTATAGCATTTCTAGCATAGGTGCTAGTTATATGTTAATAAAAACTAGTTTAGATGTCTAAAAGGTTTTTTTTATAGTTATTATAACATACTTTACAGGCAAGTTGCTTACACGCCTAAGTTACTTACTTTTACTAAGACTTTACTAAACTACTCTTTCTATACTAATGCATTCTCTACAACACTACTTAGACATGCTAAAAGAATATTAAATACAGCTTACACTCTAAGCTTTTAAATAAGATATAAAACTTTTAAAAAAATATGCTATAGCTATATATAAAGTTTTATAATAAATAATAAATAACTATAGCGCTAGATAATATTTATAAGCTAATTCTATAGCTAAATTATAAAGGCTAGGTAATAAAAAAAAGTAAGTAATTATTAAAACTATACTTAAGCTATATGCGCAAGGAATTTTTTTTTAAATAGCATTTATAGCTAATATAGCTAATTCTTTACACACTAAGTATAATCTAGGCTATATTTACATAAACTAGCTTAGTATATTTATAAAGTGTTATTTAAAGCTTAAAGTAAAGTTTTAAGTATAAGTATAGTTAAAAAACATTTAGCTAATTATAAAGCTTATTTTACTAAAGTTATACATGTTATTATTTTAAATGCTATACTTAGCTTTAATATTTTTTATAAGGCTAAACCTACTTTAAATTACTTTAAAACTTTTATAAAAAGCTTTTTTATAACGTACCTAACGGGTTGGCCGGCCACACGGATTGGCCGGCCACTTTTGCCAAGCCCCCACTAAAACCACCCCATTCTCTCGCAAAACAGCCCACTTTAGCCCTGTATAAAGTAATACAACACAAGATATTATTTAGAGTCTACTTTTACTACTTACTTACATGTACGCAAGTTATGCCTAGTCTAATTGCACTACCTGCATTGCCTTTAACTTAGCTTACCTTCTTTAGCGCGCACCTGCGTCTTTAGCTTCTTTCTATCACTACGCGCTCTAAACTCCTTTAGAGTAGTTAGATAAGCCCTATCCTTAACTATTAAAGTCTCTTCTGCCTAAATCTACTTCCTTTTATGCAATCTATGTTATGTGGCAGCCTTATTTGCTGCTTAAAGCTCTGTAATCTTATAGCCTACCCTATTGCGTTAATGCCCTAGATAACTATTGTCCACTCCCTATTACCTTACTGTATTGCCTTTAGCTGTCCTTATCTCTCTAAAGCTGTAACAACTGCTCTAGTTAATATCTAGCTTATTATAAAGCCTAACTTGTTAAAGTTATACTTGTCTTTATCTTAGATACTGTACTTAGCTTTTATGTTAGCTACTAGGCAAAACTAGCCCTAGATAACCTCTAGATCCTCACAGAGCGCTCTCTTATAATTATACTTATAATTAAACTTTATTATAAACTTAGGGCAGTGCTTAACCTACATACTAGTCTAGTTTAAGCTAACCTGGCCTAGATTGCGCTCTGCAGGCAAGGAATTAGCTATATTAGCTACAGCTGCAAGCCTAGAGGGAAATCCGCGCGTAATAAGCTTAAGTATGTACTTAACAACTACCTCTTTCTTAAGCTTAGTTAGATTCCTTAATTTAGGCCAGCATTCTGCTTGTAAAGGCTGTCCAGCGCGTTAATTGCTTAGTGTTGTGTGAAAGACATTATAGATAGCTGCAGCACGTTGCAAGGAGAGTTTTAAGTCTTATTTAAGAGCCTAAAGAGCAAGCTATATCTAACGTTCTTTAGAAGATTTAATCTAGTGTTGTTGTTAAGGCATTATGTAGATAGGTAGAGTTTAGTGGGGGCTTGGCAAAAGTGGCCGGCCAACCCGTGTGGCCGGCCAACCTGTTAGGTACGTTAGTTATAGTTATACTTAAACATTACTTTAAGCTTTAAATAATGCTTTATAAATATACTAGGCTAGTTTATGTAAACATAGCCTAGATTATGCTTAGCGTGTAAAGAATTAGCTATATTAGCTATAAATACTATCTAAAGGGAAATTTTTTATGTATATAGCTTAAGTATAGTTTTAATAGTTACCTACTTTTTTTTATTACCTAGCCTTTATAATTTAGCTGTAGAATTAGCTTATAAATGTTGTCTAGCACTATAGTTATTTATTATTTTTTTATAAGACTTTATATATAGCTATAGCATGTTTTTTTAAAAGTTTTATGTTTTATTTAAAAGCTTAGAGTGTAAGCTGTATTTAACATTTTTTTAGCATGTCTAAGTAGTGTTATAGAGAATGCATTAGTGTAAAAAAAGTAGTTTAGTAAGGTCTTAGTAAAAGTAAGCAACTTAGGTGTGTAAGCAACTCGCCTGTAAAGTATGTTATATAAAAATGTTAATAAAAGTAGTTTTAAAGGCTAAAAAAGTCTTTCTATTAATTTAGTACACATTTTAGCGCGCTAAGTCTTATACACTCTATAAGTACTTTAGCTTTAGTAAGAAAAAGTAGACTATATTAGATGGCTAGAGTATAGGTGGTAAATAGGCTAGTATATAGAGTGTAAGAATTTTATATTTTAAGTAGTAGTTTTTAAAATCTTAGTTAAGATAGCTCTTATAGGTGTTTAAAATAAGTAGCGAATACACCTCTACCTGTTTTGTCTTTATATACACGTTAAAGCCTAAAACGCGCATATATTATAAAATATATCTAGATACAGAATTAGAACCTATGCTATCCTATGCTTACAGATACGTCATGTTTCTAGCCTAGGAAGCTACCTTATATTTTCAACGCTCTTTAATTAGTAAGTTCCACCCCTGAGGCAAGAGGAATACCCATGATCAAATTTAGGTCGTAATATAAGAAGCATGGGAAAGCCAGCCAACTTCGAGACCATGGAACAGACGATGAGGGACAATTTCAACTGCATTAGAATAAGGTGCGAAGCACGATTGGTACAGCAGGTAGATCGACTAGAAACGATGATTGAAGGTTAGACCCATAGCAGGAAGGAATAGCATGATCCACAACTGATTGATGTCCAGGTATGGAGGGGAAGAACGATATACTTCAAGTGGAAAGTGCGCAGAATGCCCCCAGGCTAGGCAATTACCGACTAAAAGCTGACCAGACCAGTCTAAAAAGCTATCGACAATTCTTAGAGGCCAAATTCGACAAGGATAGACACCGGCAAAACCTTGGAGTTCAAGAATTCTTGGAGACACCAATGGGAAAGCGTTGGCAAAGCGCTGGCTCTGTGGTAATTGTCCTGTCTGGCTGTAACGAACGCGGTATAGTAACTTTCGATGAATCATGGCTTTCGCCGGTAGCTGTTGACTTGACCCAAGGCTCCTTGATCTGCAGCGTATTGTTGCTTTTGGCAAGTGCGATGATGAGAAGAGCACTCCTTTCTTGAATCATATTTCAACTACTCTAAAAGAATCCAGCAGTTGTCAGAAAGGCGGATGACTAGCAGAAAATCTCATCCTCTCTCTCGGCCGACGAGACGGACAGGAAAGAATCCCTATAGGCACCCCTCTATATATTGCTAATCTTCAAGCCGAGCCTTTATTTGTCATCTTGAATCGGATGGAATTGGGTAAGATGGTGAGTGAAAGATCTCTCATTGAAGCTATGCTCCATTTTGAGAGAGAGGCAAGGTCGGAGATAAAGGGTTTCATCATTATAAGAGTAGAAATTTGGGATATCAAGAAGAAAATGCGTACAAGTAGTGTCCACCAGACGTTACTCGAGAAGTTGCAGCTTGATTAACGTCGATTATGAGGCTGAGAGCGGTCAATCCCGCCCGTAAAATTGAAAGAAGATTTTAAGGAAGCGTCACGTCCCACGATATCATCATCAAAGTTAAGCAGCCGTCCCGTGACAGCGTTATTTTGAAAAGTTCTTGAGCTTTCCACGACAATGTTCTGAGCGATTAGTAATAGATGAATTGTACAAATTGTCCTTCGATTCATATTAATTTCGTAGAGGTCCAAGCTACACAGTTGTCCTGTTCAACAACGGCCGATTTTCATTGTCTACTCTCATTCTGAACACAATTCCCGTCGCCTCTGTCTTCTTATTAGTAAGGATAGCTGTCACCTTTTATTAATGTCTATTTTGGAGACTACCCACAAGTCTGGAAAATTGCCTATGCTTTCTTCTATTACGATATCTTCGGCTGAAGAGAATTGAGGGCAATGAGGTATAACAACTTTTGACACAACAGGTCGCCTGAAAAAGCCCAGTTGTAAAGGTTATATTAGCCTTAGAGCACTTGAAGATGCGTCCTATATGGAGGAGCAAGAATTTGAATGGGATTTCAGGGGGTACTCGAGACAAACTGGAGCGCAAAATCCCCACAAGAGTTATTGTAGAAAAGATTCAGGAGAGTGATGTTAGTGGTTGCACGAGATGCTGCACCTAACGATGCCCTAGTTACTTATTAGGACTAGCACTTTCCTCATTGTGGCTAGCTCCTCTCTCGTTCAGTCTTTGGTTAGCCCAGAGCTCAATGGGCTCTTTAGACTTTAGACTAATGCTCAATATACTCGCATAGCCCACACCACCGCGATGACTTACTCTCCTATCCTCGACCCCCTACCTGCCCGCGCGAGATGGGTTTGAAGGTAAGCTGTTATCTTGCTTGTGATCATGTGCAGGTGAGAGTAACTAGCCTGGTCTCATCAAATTTGGCCGCCGAACTTATCCTAGTGGCTGCCTGTAGCCCTTGAAATACCTGGTTTCGTGCGACTGGAGAAGTCATGTGATTGATTTTTCCAGGTTGGCTTCTTGGCGCTATTCGTAAAGTTAAGGACTGGCCGGTAAGACGGGTACATGTGAACGAATACATAGTGGAATATCAATATTGATGCCTAGTGCCCACGGTCTGTGGAATCTGCCCTTTTCGTAACCCAAGCCATTCATTTCTTTTCACCTGCGAAACCTTGTCTTACTCTCCCAACTCACGGCTTCAATAGTGAAATACGTCCTGCTCACCCAGTCTAGGACAAATCTTCGCTTTCGAAGATGAATTCCTCTCCTGAATGGCTTCGATGCTATCCACAGAAGGTGTATCCATAGTAGCATACTGAAATGTTCCCTCAATGTTCCTGAAAGCGAGCCCTGCCAATTCACGACAACTTTCTTTGCGTTAAAGTAGTTCCGAGATGGGGGAGGCGGTAAAATCTTCACCCGACACTTCTTGGCCAGAAGGGGCAGTGTTCGCTCTCTAGCCCAGAGAGTTGAAAGAATTTGGCGGAGCATATGTTCATAGACCGGTACGCTGTTCATATTAACGAGAGGACTGCCGTCATCGTGGATCATGAGCGTAAGCGTATCCGCATAAATTCTAAAGAGTGGGGAGATATAGTCCGGAATATACGTCCTTATCTTCTTCCTGTACGCGGGTTGCAAGACGGCGCGGGGGATTGCTACGACTAAATCTTGTACTACTCCGTTCTTGGTGACTGCTGAAATGTTGAGCGGATGATTGGGAAACCTCTTTCGCCAATGCGTGTTCACTAGCGAAATGATTGGCTGCGCGGGCATTGATTCCATCTCTATTTTGACCTGGCGGCAACTCAGGAGAAGGTGGTCCCAGGTCGAGAGTGAATTGTTGTCGCGCTCATGGATCATGGACGAGGCGAAGACGTACATGAAGATCATGTGCCGTATCTCAAGAGGGAGAGTGAGGAAGAGTGACTGGGGCTGAGGCAATACTCTTGTCCTGGAGCCGAAGAACTTGACCAAGATTTTCTTGATACTTTTCCATTGGAAGAATCGTCGGTATTGGGCTTTCTTTGTGGGTCGAGGCATGCAAAGGCTGAGTCCCCGTTCTGGACGCGAGCTTTGGGACTGTTCGGGTACCCTTGGTGTTGTCATGCTAGCCCCAGATTCAGGTCGCTATTTCATGGTGATAAGAAACTCAGGCTGGGCTCCGTTGCTTCAATGCAGATATACAATACTCATTCGATAATCTGGAAGAAAATTAGAGCTACTAGGAATCATAACTCAACCAGGGAAGGATCAAGGGATGCTTTGTAGGATGATTCCACACAACCCCAAAAGATTGTAGATAAACACGGCTGGGAAAACGCTATTCTTCGAGACGGGCTTATTGAGGTGGCCTTATAACGTTAAACAGAGGAGTGCTGACATGTCAAGGGCGGTGAGGGACCGTGCGTGATAATAAGCGGCCTAAATACGCAAGCGAAAGTAGAACATGGCCCGTGCACTGCCCTAAAACACAAACCAACAGAAAAGACTTTCTTTCTAAGGCGAAACTTCGCCATGCTCTTTGCCCACTAGCTTATCAAGGATAGTTTGGCTCAACTAAGAGATATGTTTCAAGTACAACCACTACTAGTAGTAGTGAAAGTAGGCTCATGCTAGGATATATAAACAAGAGTAGAGTTTGACGGCAGCCTGTCAGATTGAAGCACTGTTTCTGGGCTTCCTGAGATGAATGATGGGTTTGGATATGATGTATGGGATGATGATTCATTGTATTTATTTATCGATCCTTTTTCTGCTCTACTCGTGTTGCTCGGCTTTTTGTTCTGCCGATCCGAGTCCCTCGCGCACTAGCCCTATGCGCGACCAGCTTGCAACATGCTGCAATTTGCTGCAAAATGCTGTAACATGCTGCAATTTGCTGCAATTTGCTGCAAAATGCTGCAAAATGCTGTAGCATGCTGCAATTTGCTGCAAAATCCTGCAATTTGCTGCAACATGCAGCAATTTGCAGCAACATACTGTTCGAGCTTATTGCTCGTACTATGTAGCAGCTTTCGTCAAGCGTTCCTCCTGTCTTGACAGTAGGTGCGCATATCTGACACAGCCAGGTCTCCATCATCGTGTAGGTAGGCTAGCTCTATTTTATGCTACATTACACCTGTACTAGCGTTAGGATAAGGAGTGGTAAGAGATGAAGCTCGCATAGCATTACGGATGCGAAGACGTTAGCGTGTTTGCTTGGCTCTTGGTGCGATCATCTATTGTGTGCAAAAATCGGGAAATTTCTTGGCGTTCCTCGGATCTTTTTTTCCCCCACCAAAATTGTATGGGAGATCAGAATCTTAATAGAATTCCTGATATATTAATAAATAACAATTAGATTAGCCCTAGGTAGGTTAAAGCCTTTAGTTTGTATAAAGAAGCGCCTATACTAACTTTTTTAAGAGTAACAACGCGTTTGTTTACAATGTATCGCGCTTATAGCGTCTCTATCCTTCCTAGCTGGCCCTAATCACCCTAATATCTTAAACTAAGCACCTAAGGGCTTAATAATTGCGTTTATATAAACATCTGTTAGTTTCTCCTGCTTAGATGGCTTAGAACTGCAATTGCTAATTATAAAAGTTGTTCTCTTTACATAGTTTATAATGTAGAGAATAATCTTAAGGCTTATAGCAGTGTTTATAAGCCACCTACTATAAAGCTTAGGAGACCTTCTAAAATTAGTAATAAAGATAGTAAAGCTCTGTTTAAGAAGTTAATCTGCAGCAGATAAAGATACTAGAACAAATAAGCCTATTAGCTATAGATAAAAAGAGGTGTAAAGGTTAATAAATCTACAATCTCCTGTTACCTTACCTAGCATAGATAGAGTAGGCGTACCTTACAGCCTTTTTTATAGGCTTATAATAAGGAGCTTTAAAAGCTCTACTATTACTCTTTTTATTAGTTTATATAAGATAATTTAGTGTTTTTTAATAAGTCTATTTTTAATAAAAAAACTAGCTAGCAGCATAAGGCTTATAGGCCTGTAGGCTATAAAAGTTAATATACTTAGGATATAAGGCGCAGGAAGACGTAGGCTATTCTTTTAGCCTATATAGTAAATAGATACCTGCCTTGTATAAAGGTAAAAGAAGGATATTTTAATTATAAAGAGTTTATTAATTAAATTAAGCAGCGCTTTTTTTTTTTACTTTAAGCAACTTATAGGACCTAGCTTATAGTTATAGTCCTTAATAACATCTTAATTTATTAGAATAAAGCTGTTATAACTATTTTTAAGGCTACTAGCTATGTTATTTGTTTTCTTTTACTATACTTGCTTAACTATAATTTTATTAAGTTAACCTTTAAAGTATTAAAGGCATAAATTAAAAAAAACTATTTATACTATTAGTAGTAGTATATAAGCTTTAGCTTGTTTTTTAAGGACATAATTAAAAGCAGTAAGTGTAATTATTTTACTAGAAAACACTTTACATACACTACTAGAGGGTTATATATAGAGCTAGAGAAGCTTAATTAGGTAAGAGCTAAAATTAGCGCTTAATAGGGTTATAATATAGATTCTTAGGATAACAGAGACTATAAAGATATTAAGTTATAAAATAATAAAACATTAAACTTTAATTAACCTTATTTAGCTACTAAAAACTCTATGTTTATTAAAATTTTAAGTCTATTAAATTTTTTTCTTAGCACTTAATCTTTGCCTTATTACTTTATAGATATTTAATAGTTTTTAAGTAGTTTAATATTTAAGTTTAAATTAATAAAGCTTATTATAAAAATAACATACTATTTTATTTTTTTTAACTTAAATAGAGCTTTTACTGCTACTATATATAATTTACTCTAAGAGATTAACATCTTTTTAAGATCTTTTAATGTCTACTTTTACTTTATTACTACATCTTTTGCCTATATATAGTTTTTATAATTTTTAACTAGTTATTGTTTAATAAGCTAGTTAAAAAACTTCTTTACTAACACCTATAAGTTATTCTTTCTACTACTAGTAATAAGGCTTAAGCTTAAAATAGGTATAGGTTGTGTAGAAGTTTCTAAGTAAAAAGCAGCTATTAAAAAAGTAAAAAGTAGATAAAGTATATTTAAAAATAGAAACAGCAGATTTCTTAGACCTAACATATTATAGTTAGTTAATTAAAACTGCTGCTAAAGCTGCTACTGTTAAAAAGCTTGCTTTTTTATTTTCTAAGCTTTTTACTATTTATTAGCTACTTTTTTTATAGCTTATAGTTTTTCTTAGATCTTATATTTTTTAGCTACTTTTATTATCTTTTTAAGCTTATTTTTATTGCTTAAGAATAATAAGAAGCTATAACACTTTTTTTTTTACTTATTATGTAAGTTTACTTTTAGCTAGTTCTTTATTAAAGTTTACTAGTATTATATAAGCTTTATTAGTAGCTAATTTATATATACTTAGCTTTTAAAAATTACCTAAGCTTATAACTCTAAATTAGCGTCTTTTATAGTAAAGTGCTTATAAGTAGCCTAGTAAACATAGTAAAAGTGCTTAAAGTTATTATAAGTTAATACTTAGCACTTTTATATATAAAAGATCTAACTCTAGCTATTAATACTAGTAGTAAGATCTTAGATCTTTTAATAAGTATAATTCTTATTTAATAGCTACTATGTGCGCTAGGGCAACTTTTCTTTATAGCCTAGAGTAATAAGAGGATTAGATAAAGGCTTATTTACTAACTAGTTACATAAAAAGGCTTTTATTATTACTTTATATATAAGCTTTACTTTTACCTTAATATTTACCTTATCTGCGCCTTTAAGGCGCCTTATATAGTGTTTAATGCTAGAGAACAGCCTTTATTTTTTACTAAGCTTAAAGTCCTCTATTATTTAGAGCTGCTAGCTAGCCCCCTGCTTGTTAGCCCTATATTAAATAGTATGTAAGGTAATATAGAAATCTTAAGCCTTTATATGCTTTTATATAAAAGAGCTTTTAATTATAGCATTAACCTAATCTTTTACCTACAAAAGTAAGAAAAATGCTTAAGAAATAACTTTATCTACTAGCCTACTATTAGCCTTATTACTGTTTACGCGCACTAAATATTATATAGTAACATTAAACTCTACTATTTAATTAGGGGGGGAAGACTCTCTAGCAGCTACAGGAGCAAGAGTAGGCTAAGATAAGATAAAAGTTAGAAAGAAGCTTTTTAGCAGTAAAAAAAGGTTATCTTTAAGTATATTAGATAAAGTATTAGGCTTAGAGTAATAAGTAGGAACTATAGGAATAGCTTTTTACTAAGTTAGAGTAAAAGAAGTAGATTGTTTAGTTACTTTTACTGCTTTTTAAAGTGCAGGCTTACTCTTAGTAGGCGCTAGAATATTATAAGCTTTTTTTACTTTACTTTTACTATTAAGTTAACTTATAACACGCTAACTTTAGTTTAGTACTACTAGCAGTTTTCTTACGCTTGCTTAATAGGCCCTGTGCCCTTACATATGTAAAATAGGCTAGTAGGTTGCTACTAAGGTTAATTTAACATGTTTAGGTAGCTAGGGCTGCTCTAGCCTTCTGTTTTAGGCCTATTGTTGTTCTGTTACTTTAAAAATTAAGCTAAGAGTAGTATTTTTATATAAACTTAAAGCTTTAACTTACTAATAATATTTAAGAAAGATTTATTAATATATTAGAAATTCTATTAAGATTGTAATCTTCTATGCAATTTTAGTAAGGAAAAAAAAGATCTAAGGAACGCTAAGAAATTTCCTGATTTTTGCACATAATAGATGTGACTAATGGCGGAGCTTGCCGAGCGGTTCCGTCACATGATGTGCGAGACCAAGGCTTCTGTGTGGTGGAGTGGAAGGCGCTCCATCGATGCCAGGTTTGATATTAGTATTACCGGATATTGAGCAATATAATGGCATGGTCGGTCATGGTGTTTGGATTCCAGGTAAACTACGATACGATATCTGCATTCCTGGTGATTTCACCTTGGTCACCAAGTTTATCCATGCCGACCAACAACAAACAGTTAGAATTTTCGAAATCAGGTCTTTCCTTGCTAATCTCCTCGGTATAAACGATAGTATCGAGCGTAGCTGCTGAGAATTCGACATGGGCGGGCATGCTAGTTTACAGTGCAACACCCTCGGGCCGTCCTTGGGACATGGGGAAACGCAAGCGGCTCAGAATTCCGCGATCTCCAGTGAGGCCCACGCTACAGCTCATCAAATCCATTACTGATACGAATATGGGGCCAGCTGCTGCAATATCTTGCACTCTTTATCTAAAGCAACGACAGAAGAGGGATAGAAAGGCTCTAGGGAAGCCTACGCAGAAAGAAGCTGCTAGTTGTTCAATGTAGCTGCACGTTATCCATCCCGGCAAGCTCCTTTATTTGGATGGCAAAACTGATTGTGCACGTTAAATATTCAGAAGAAATACGTATACAGACGTTTCAAATTCTCTCGGATCCACCTACACAAGCGAACGTCGAAGCACCGGTCAAGGGCAATCCGAGTAAATTTACCGGATATCATAGCATCATGGTACAAGATCCTGACCTATGCGCTTTCTTTCGAAAGTTCAGGCGAGGTTCCAAAGAACCCATGGGAGGAACTCCCGCGACCGACAATACATATTTCTCTCGACGGGTTAACGAACGCTCCACAGATCCATCCCAGGTGAACTTCTAAGTCTCTTCTCAGCTAAATAATGTCGCCCAATGTCGTCGACTACACTCCCGGTACTTTGCGTTCCCAGGATCGCGTAATAGAGTACGTCAATCACCAAGTTATGGAAGGAACCCTCCATGGGTCCAGTCCACTCACCCCTCTGCAAAGCGGAGTTGGTATCATATGAGCCCGCCCCCCACCCTGATTTGTCTCATATCCAGAATGTGAAGGATCACGCCAACGGTGCCTCACCTGATGATCTGATCTACACGCTCCAACGCTCTTCGCCGAGATCTCTCCCGCATTGTAAATCAGGAGCATCATATATAGTATGCACGATCGATTTCCGAAAACACCACTGGAGCTTGCAATATTCTCCTATCATGGTAAGGACACAATACAGACAGGAGCTTTTATAATACGGACCACGACAGGTATGATAATACCTTGAACAGTTTTCCCTGAAAGGAGCAGTTCTGGAGAACCTCCTCGCTGTTTAACTTAGCCTGCAACATCACTTAGACATGGAGAATTCATGGAAACTTTACTACGCTCTATCTGGGAGTTTGCAATGGTGTTACAAGCTGAAGACTAGTGGCTTTAGGCAAGCTTTGCTATGTTATTAAACCCAGTTTGAAAGGTGGCGCAAACCCCGATTCAATAGTGCACATTTCAAAATCTTCTTAAGCGGAGGGCATATCGCCACCGTGGGCCAGCTGCATATGCCAGAGCCGAAGTGGTCATTTTAAGAGGCGAATTCGCAAGTCCGTTAATAGCCGCTATCCTTGGAGTTCCTCGAGAAGTCATCGAGCTTTTGAAGAATTAATGAGATAGCGGCGGATCTTGGGCTCATCAGGAAGGACCTTGTCTGGATGGGAGGTCGTACTTGGCTACTACAAACATTGATCGGGCTTCATTCATTCTGCATGATTGCCCGAAGCGTCTTCGCGAGAGCTCATGTGGCGGTACTTCCGCCGTTGCACGAACTTAGAAGCGGAACTTTAATGGCTGTGAGACCGAGTGGTGCATATGGTGCAAATACCTAACCAACATCCAGAGGTAATTCCTGTAACATTGCTAGATGATGTAAATAGGGAGAACAGCCTATCAGGAACGGATATTTGTGACCCACTGATCGAATCCTACGTGCTCACTTTCGCTTTCCTGCAATCCCGATATCATCTGGTCTGGCAACTAGCAGAATCTGAAATGACTAAAGTAGTAGAGAGCTTTCTCCACTAGATGATATCTTCCGACGCCGATGCCTCCCCCACAACCATACTAATTTTACAATGCTCGACAGTTATCAAGCAGGCGGTCGAGTCGAGGGTCTCGATGCTAAGTCTAGGTCATGGTCCGGACATATGTTCGGGTCTCCGGAACCAGAGAAGGTAGTAGCCTTGGCGAGATGTAGGGAGGGAGCCCACGTGGTAACGATGTCGTATTGTTGGTCAGCAAGACAAGGGCATTTGAAAGGTCACTTGATCATTCAATTTAACTGGAGAAGAGCCAGTTTAATTAGATGAGTAGGAGCTAAATCAGTACGAGTCACGGACATGAGGAACATGGTCCACCTGTCGCTTGGTAACAAGTGGTATTGCGATCTAACTACAGGCCCACGAGCATGCCAATGAATGCACCCCGTGTATATTGAATGTGACTCTACGGCTATGACGATCTTGATGGAGTTTGAGGACTAATAAACCGGGATCCGTCGATCCGGAAATCGAATAGAAGGAGCAAAGGAGGAAAACTAATTACTTCCCCTTCTGGAAGAGAATCGGACTCCGCCACGAACAATCCAATCAACGAGTGTGCTCATAGTGAAATCGGTCCAGAGTCCTAACTCATTCTCCATTCTCACCCCCTGACCACTTTACATTGGCCCCATATCTAATCCTGGGAGCTGAGAAATCCCTGCCGACTTGTTAGAATAGCCTAACCTGTTTGAGAGTAGGGTAACTTACAGCCATCATGGTCCTCCTTGACAACGGGCTTCACAGCACACTTCTTCGCACTGTCGACAGCTTGAGTCTTGAGGCTGGCACAAGAGGCACCCATACAGCCAGAGGTATCCATAGCCTTCTGGAGAGAGTCGGCCTTCCATCCGAAAACGTAATCAGCATGCTGGCCGTATCCGGTGTTGTCTCCAGTACTCAGGTAGAATGGGTTGCTGCCATCCGCGGGCCAGTCTGCCTTGTTGTTGAAGGCTGTAGTATCCCAGACAACCTCAAGCATGAGCTGTGGGATCCTGACTGGGTGGGTTGATGGGCAGTTGCCTCCTAGGCTTAGGAAAGTGGCGGGACCCGAAGTGGGATAGGCAACGTGGTCCTTGTGATTCGGGCTGTCGAGATTCTTGCCATCCCAGCAACTATACTTGCTGTTAGTACTACTGTAGAGTTAGGGGAGCATGGATATAGGAGGCTTACGTCGGGAAAAGGATATTGGAGCGGATACCACCTTTGCAAGGCCCGGTCGGGAAGGTTTCAGTATCGAGCCTGTATTCATTGTTAACTAAAGCATCGCGAATGGTGTGGGGAACTAACTTGGCGTCCTGGCAAGGGGCGGCGACATCACCTCCAAAGTTTGGACCCGTATAGCAACGGAAGCAGTTCTGCCTCTTCATTGAAGCACCCTTAGATGTGCGCAGTGTGGCATCGCCACTGAGCATGCGGAAACCCTAGAGATGGTGGTCAATACCAGAATAATACACGTCCATCAGAATTCCACGTTGAACTTACTGGCTTGAAGGCAGTGATCTTGCCGGGTTGAGCAGAGACGTAGTACACAAGGATACCGTCCTTCATTGTGTTGCTGAACTTGTCGTTGAATTGTAGTCTGAAAAAGATTCAGTGAGTGGAAGAATAGACATTAAATGAAACCGATGGCACGGATCGGAACCGTCTTCAATAACTCCCAGGGATCATCTCCACAAACAACAAAGAAAGAAAATCTCGTCTCACTTACGCAGCGCCGCCCTGAGGAACACGCTTGTAGGTACCGTTGCGGGCCTTGAAGTACACGTTTGCCGTCCAGTAGTTGGAGAGATCGTCGGCGAATGCGCAGGTAGTACACGAAGCACCAGTTGAGACATCGCCCGTCGTCATCGTAGCATTAAATGAGTTTCCTCCCACAATCTGGTGGACATGTGGGGAAGGGATAGAGCCAGGGTTGACGAGGGGGTCAAGTCTGTCGATAACAACCTGGGGGCATCCAAATCGCAGCATGGTCGTGCTGCCTTGACGCTTTTCCGCCTGGGGCAGAGCCTCGGCAATCGCCGCAAGGGCGAGGATAGTAGCCTTAAGCATAGTGAGGGAACTTGAGGTCGCAGGAATGGGAAGGATGTGGAGCAGAGGGGCAGCGGGTTGGGGCTGGAGGGCACACCCTTTTGAACAAAATCAAGACCCACAGGGGGGCGTTGACCATCCCTTTCCACCTTCCATCCAACTGCCGTCGTTCTATGGCAAGTAGAAATGCCGAATCTTGGGGATAATATGGTAGGTTGTCAATACTTCGTCCGGTACCCAAATTGGGTAACTCGCTTGGTCGTGACGCACCCTATCAACAATCTGCCGCTTATATGCCCATATGGTCTTACCCTTGTACCCCACAAAACCTAAATGAAACCTCCCACTTCGGTTTGTTTTAATAATTTTATCCATTTACCCCACAGAAACTTCATTACGATACCCCGGGCGTTTAACGAGGAATATTCGAAAGGAAGGATGTTTGTATATGCGCGAAGCTCTAAGCGCTAAGGGAGGCGATCTTTTAAAAACCACTAATACCTTGGTTATGCTCCATGATCCCCTGTTGCCCGGTGCGATAGTCAGGTCCAAAGTTTGGGCTCTGATCGTCCCCGGACATTTCACAAAAGAGTTGTCGGTCGAGTGGGAGAACTAGCGCTGATAAATTTCGAAGCATCTCGCCGCTGGTCTCTCTGGGGCAATCGAGTCGCAAAATCAACGTCGCCCTGCAACAAAGGAGTGAAAAATCTAGCAGCGATCAGAAGGAAACCAAAGAGTCGCGGAGGCTCTTCAAATTTCACGAGGCGGTTAAGTATTTTCGATTTTGGAAATATGATGTGTATCACTAGGGGAGATAATTTGCGATCAAGATTTCGAACCTTCAGTTGAGCGAGACAACCACCAGGCGCCGCTAAACGGGGCTTGCACCGGTGCAGAAGTGCAGGAGGAACGCCATGGAATTCTCATAGCAAGAAGTCGATGGAAGTTATTCGGTGTTCTCAAAGATGCGCCGTTGACGGAGTGGCTACTCGCGGCTTACTAGGCAATCACAAGGTTGCAAGTGGCGAATCACGTGTCGTTGATTTCACCGTCGCACCGCCAAGATGTTAGCTCATTAGCTCTCCCTTTACCTCTATGAAACACCCCGACCATCCCGTGATTCCATCTCCGCTGCGACGATATCTTGCCTGACATCGTGGGGCTGCACTAAGAGAGAATGGTGCACAGAAACAATGGCCGCAAGCGGGCCCGACAAGAACTAGGAGAGGGAAATGGTGATGAGCTCAATTCAGACATCAGTTCTTCACCGGTTGGCTTTTCACCACCAGCGCAGTCTGTGCCACCAGCCACACCCCAATTGCCTCTGCTCGCGCAGCCTGCCGGTCAAGCTAATCGCGTCTTGGCAACAATGAGTTGGAGCTTTCAGCCCACGGCTCCACCAAATCAGCAGCAAGCGGTCAGTAAGCCTCGGGTTATTTGTACCTATTGGTTTTTTTTTTGTTTTTTTTTTCAAAAAAAAAGGTGGCTGAATGAGCGTAGCAAACAAGGTGGAATGATTCTTTGATGGGACACACGCCGCCGTCTGAACCATACAATCCTCAGCTCATGAGCAGGAACTATCACATCACTTGGGGCGACAATTCTTGGAGTAACACCAATTTCCTGCCCCAATCTGTGCCTATCTACGATTTCCCGGAGCCTACCGACCCTTGGGCGAACGTTTCTCTCTACGACCAGCCTGTTGACGGACCTTCTTTTGGAGTTAATCGTTACTTTGAAGGCTTCACAGAACCTGAGTGGTTCCACTGCCCCGGCTCTTTTATGTCCTCCAGCAATAAATACGAAAAATCTGGGTTGAACCCATCATACGATACTGGGGCAGACACCATGCCAGACACGATCCCAGATTTAGCATATAGGGATCCTCACGGTCCTTTGAAGACTTCATCCGACTTGGGTAATAATGCAATTGCGATGTATCAGGTTATGCCTGAGGCGAGAATGTCAACCATTCGACAGCCAGATGCGGCGTACGCTGGAGCGCCGCCATCAATAACTGCGGATGAAGAATTAGCACTCAAACTGCAGGAGGAAGAATTTTCGCAGGAGGTGACTCCATCACCAAAAATCCGCATGGTCAATTTCGCAGCAACCCGAACCTTGGGGTCATGGGAAAAGCTACCTTGGGAACTCAAGCTGCCCCTTCTAGAGCAATGCCTAAAACTCGACATTCCTCTTACGCCGAAGAACATCAAGAAACTCAAAGACATTCATCTGGACCCGTTCTTGAAAGTGTCCACAGAGTATGCGAAGGAAGCTGAGCAGGTGTTTTACGAGTGTAATGAACTCAGGCTGCAGCCCATGCCTTGCGATAGCGATCCGCTCACGCAAACCGTCCGCAAGCTTGAAATATCGTTTCCTCACCCAGATATGAGGGTCAACATCTTCGTCAAGCGGCTCGAATTCCATGGATGCCCGAAGCAAACAGACGAACAAGTGTCAAAGGCTGACAATGGTAGATGGGGTTCAAGTTTCGTCCAAGTCAAACCACCTCGATATACTGCAGCTGAATGGGATGCGAAGCGGGAGAACGACAATTGGCACTACCTTAAGCAGATCACCAACGGTAAGTATGGGTTCCAGAAGCTAGAGTTAGTCAAGGTATTCTTCGAGCCGAAACCGATGCGGATGCAGTCTATCTTGTGGAGGTGGCGAGTTGTGATTGAGGTTGGGAGTCGTGAGTTGGTATTCGAGAATGAGATGAAGGACTGGGAGGGTGCACTGGAGGCAGTGATCAAGGAAATGGCGCTCCCATCACCTGATTCTGGACAACCTTGCTTCATCCTGGTCAGGAGGGAAGATGCGAAGACCAACTTGGTGCAGTTCGGCAAGGAGCTGGATGGTTTCAATGATTAATCTCAGGACCAAGTGGTGCATTCAAGGGCTTCTAAGATTCCCTGCTCAGAAAGTTGATGATTCGTAGCCAGAGTTGATAATAGGCTTGAGAGGCTTCGCTTGCCCCCGACTACCGCATTGTAGGATGGGAGATGCCAGTTGTCCATACGCTTAGGTAGTATATACATAGAATGTAACCCCACCAGCCGTTCACTAAACCCGTGTTGGGTATGCCGAGTGTCGCAGAAAACTCAAGACATCAAGACTTCTTCTTACAATAACTGATTCAAAATTCCACTTCCAACACTCCTTCTAATCCCTGTCGTCTAGCAAGGCTTATTGGTGCAACAAAGTCGATGAGTTTCACGAAGGAGATCTTCTGTAAGCAGATTACTTTCCTTTATAAGGGCAACCTCAGCCACATCCAGGCACCTTTCAATATAAACGAGGTCAAATGGTGACGTTACCACTACCTGCTAGAGTTCACAGCCAGTATGTCATGCGTTTGGATTTCAACACATTGAGCCATAGACGTGGCCGTACCTCAAATGCCTGTGCGGTCCAGGCTAAGAGGCCGACGAATCTCGCATCTGGTGAGCTGGGATTCTAGGAGCTAGAGGTACTGCGGATAGCTTTTGAATTTCGAGCCCTTCAGGTATTGTCATCATGAATACTATATACGGTATGTTAAAGGAGGTAGCGCCGATGAACTTTCCCACGAGTTGAGAGATTCTAGTGCTACAGCATGAGTGTGTGGAAAATTGGAGGTAATCATCCTGGAGATAGCTGAGTGCTGTGGTCTGCTTTGCCAAGGTTGTCATGTTGGTACCGGGAAATGCTCCAAAGCCTGCTAACCTTGAACCCGGATGAGCCAGTTGGGTAGGAAGCAAGATCAGCGATATTAAAGTTTTAAAATGGGAGACGAGCTAGCTGATCGAGACCGTGCGTTTTCGCTGGACGGTTGGTATGGCTGAGATTGAAAAGCATACTGGATTATTAAGTGCATTGGTTGACTTTGGGTGATATTCGATGTGTTCAACTTCAAGTTCCCACCCCTCTGGAGTTTACCACCACCACTACTAAAACAGGTCGTTCGAACTTAAAAAGTAGGTCAGTATGCATCTATTCTGGAGTTAACTTTATCAGATACTTGACCGTATCTGAAGCCTCGCAGTCGCGACCAACTCTTTTCACTTGAATTGCCCCTTCTTCGCCTGTAGCATAATGTTTGCCTCCCTCACCACCCGAATGAATTTCCTCTGGACCCTCTCATTTGTAGCATTTCTTTCTCCAAACTATAGCATTGAGGATCTCTGTCGTTGCCGGTTGAGGGAAGGTCTCGTTAAAGTGTTCGAATCCGAAAACTGAAACACGCACCTCTTGGGAAAGAAGTTTATAGAAACCTCTATGCAAGACACCAATAACATGTTTACTACCTTTGGTATGGTTAATGAGCTCTTTGAGTGACATACTGGAGATGGGAGGAGGGTGGTAGGCATCGTTCCAATAGTCAAAGATGAGGCCTAGTTCGAGGTGATCAACAAATTGAGCTACTGCGAGTGGGGGAAAGAGGATCCGAGGCGTCAATCGCAACCTCCGCGTTAAGATGACTTGTTTCGTGCCATGGAAAACTTGAAGTGCAAGTTCGCCCATCTGACGAGAAATAATTAGGAGAGGATGGATCTCATATGGGCTGTATAGAATATTCGGTTTGACTGGCTTATTGGAAGTAAGATTGTAGGCAGGAACCTTTAATTTCTGTTTCGTGGGAGGGACCATAAACTAGACAGGCAAGGCGATAGAAGGGCCATTCACTCACAAAACCAGAATTTGGCCGGTTTCACTGAGGCCTTACCTGGTCAGTACAGATTCTCAACAATATGCAAGCTTACTAACTCCACATATAATTTGCAAACTCAAAAAGCAGGTGATTTCGAGCGAGAATTCCAACCTAACATCCTCTAGTTCATCCTTCTGCGGTTTTCGTTCCTGAGATTTGGTGTCAGGATCTTTTCACCACACCATGACTGACAAGACCGCCTCCTCGCCTATGGGCGTTCTTAAAGCCATTCCCTTCGACCGCAATAAACCAATCGACAATCGTCGCCTCGAGATGCTTAAGCGTGCCCGTCTTGATAAATTCTTGATTCTGTCCAAATCTTTCGCCTCTCTCGCACTAGATATCTTCTACAAGTCGAACGTTTTCGTCATTACGGACTATGGACTCATTGCACATCGCCAACCTGATCGTGATCGCAACTTTTGGACATTAGGCACCCTTGTGCCGCCACTACCTCTTTGGCACTTCCTCCGCCACTTGAACTTTCATGTGCAACTGGATTGCAAATTTGAGATTCTAGGTCTAACTCGCAGGTTTCTTATCCAAGTCATCCCAGAGACCATTGAGGAGCTGCTAGAAAATAAAACGGGTTAGAAGGTATTGGAGAATCTTACATCGGAGGAATCGAGGGTCAGAAAGTTCCAGGCCCTAAAACTAAAGGAAGATTGCCTCCAGGTAGCGCTTTATAACCTTGAATAGAAGGACGAGACCATGGCTGGTTAATTACGGCGTTTACAAGGCCACGGGTCTTTGGAAAGATTGTGCTAGAGGCGGACGTTGTGCTTCGTGCTAGCCGGGCGGAAATTCTGGTGGGATGGAGAGTTGGACAGTCCTTGATGAAAATGGTTCGAGTTGAAGGAGGCAACACCCTAGAGCAAGGGGAAGATTCCGAGCGAGAGTTTCTGAACGAAGACCTAGGATATGTCATACTATCGAAGATAGTACGCTGGGTTTCTAGAGAACTATAGACCCGTTTGGACGGTTGGAGGACTTTGAACCCTAGCTTTTGGATACCTCCGTCTACAGCTCTTTGCGAACAGAAGTTGGAATGGATTTAGTACACCGAGCTTGCTGGAGTTCTGAATTTGGACCAACGATACCAGAGACGGCAAGAAACGTTGAAATATGATGGAACATACCTTAGATACTACGTTGCTCCCCTCATGATAGCGGCTGTTTAAAGCAGACGACGAACTACTTCTAGGGTTGACGTTGAGTGTGAGGCTAGTCTACTTTAGGAAGGCTCTCTTTGTTTTCAGCCGAGTGCCGACATGGGATGGCTTTCCCAGCCCTGGCACCAAGCCCGTTGCCCCTCACCCTACTCTCTATGCTGCCATAATATGCTATGACCAAGCGCTCAATCGACGCTACGAGTGAATCATCCCTCCTGGATTCTTTGGGTCCCCTACAGCCTGATACTCAAGAGGGGAATGGATCCTGTGAGGATGACCCTACTGCCGCTGCACTCAAGAAGGCCCGCACCTTCATGGCTACGCTGGTAAGTCTACAGCATGTTACTATGCAATATGGAATATGACAAGGGTGGAGTCTATCTGCTAAACTTCTTGCTGGAGCAAAGGAACGCGTCAATAGTATGCTAACTGCCTTTGACTCATAGGCATGTGACAACTGTCGTTTGAGGAAGACTCGATGTGATGAAGACCGTCCACGATGCGGGTATTGCAAGGCCAACAATGTGCCATGTAAATATCCTGAACCTCGGTTGACCAAGTGAGCTAGTCTTCGAAACGCGTTGTCGCTTACATCTGTTTAAACTGGTGTAGAAAGGACCAATCCATGAGCGTAGCAATTAACGCCATCAGGCGACTGGAAGGCAAGGTTGAAGATCTCACCATGGCAATCAATGCCTCGAGAACTCAGCCACAACAAGCAAATGATCATCGATCACCCCTTTCGGCGGTATCCCAGGTAAGTCTAGAGGTTCCACAAGCCCCGACGAACGGTCTCCCGCACAGTCGTGATCGTGGAACCGTCCACGAGGTTGGATTCTCTCCGCAGGCCGTGGGAGCTCCCGGGAAGGGCCCACACCCCCTCCATGAGACTCCCGGCCAAGTATCAATCTCTTTCAGCCAACACGGTGTTGCACTTTGGCCAGCCGTCAAGCAGATCTTACCACCAACCTTTGTCTCTGCGCGAGAGGCACTTGCAAAGGACTATATTGTCGAGCTTGAGACCCATAGAACCCCTCTCTGCATGACTACCAATTCCCCACTCGGCCAGCTCTCTGACTCTTGGTTGGCTGGACTTTCTCTTTCCATTATCAAAGGCCTCACCGATGCCTACTTCACAGTTTTCAACCGAAACATGCCCATTCTTGACAAATTTCATTTCTACTCCTCGACTCTCGGCCTTGCAATGGAGAATGAGTTTGGATATGACATGGAAACTTGTTTGGTGCTAAACGTGCTAGCATTAGGGTGCATGGCCGCAAAGGCGCACGAAGAGGGAAACTTTCCATTGCCATCCCGTTTGCAAGCGAGCGGGACGGGATTTATGCCCCCAGAGTGGTACAGCCTAGTACTAGACAATCCACCTGGCCTGAGATTCTTCAACGAGGCCCGCAAACGCATCGGGTTTCTCATGTGCCAGAACGATCTACAAGCGGCCCAGTTCTACATGCTTTCGACGTTTTACTACGCCCAGATACTACGGCCAATCGAATCCTGGACTACAGTCAACCGGGCAGCATTGAGTTGTATGAGCATCCTGAAGCGGGCGGAGCCGATCGATTTCGACCAATGGGAAGGAGATATGATTTCGAGAGTCTTCTGGAGTACTCTAATGTACGAAACCATCCTCATTCAAGAGCTTAATTTACCATTGTCTGGACTACAAGAATACGAAGCAGACATGCCAATCCCCAAATTTTCGCCGTATCCAAGGTCAAAGACATCTATCTCCGGACTGATCACTGATGAAGATGACTCGTTCTTCAATTTCCATTTCTTAGCCCAGGCTGCTCACCGAATTCTCCTTACTCGTATCCGATACAGTTTGTATTCCTTTGTAGAGAAAGAAGGACAACCGACTCCAGCCATCACAGCTGAAATGCATCATCAGCTTGAGCAATGGCGCACCAACCTCCCTCCCGTACTCCAGTTCACGGACCACGACAATGTAGATGACGCACCAAGCCCAGCCCATGTAATTGCGAAGGCTATGTTACGAAGCCGCTATCTCGTTGCTAAATTCCACATTGGAAGGCCCTTTCTCTACAAAGCGCTTCACGCACCGGGCCACATGAACGATGACGAATATCGAGAAATCCAAGAGGGACTGAGAGACGGCATGTATTGGCCTACGACGATGGGGCTCTGCAGACAGATGAAATCAGCTCTGCCTCTAAAGTTCGGGTGGTGCTGTCAGTGTTTCGGTCAAGTGCTGCTCTTTCACGCTGTCGCTCGGTCGCCGGATCCAAAGCTGCGGGAAACGTTGCCTGTGGGCTGGCAGGATTGGGTGAGGATTATGATGCAACTTATTGAAAGCTGCGGGGAGTATAGCCCCGCGATTGCGAAGGATGCGGACTTGTTGCGGCTGCTCTCACCGTAGGATATAGTACAGCATGTTATCACAAACCGCGGAACGTGACTAGAGTAGAGAGTCCTTCTATTAAACCCTCGCTAGAATTCGGAAGAGCATGAACAGGATGGCTACTTTCCAAACAGGACACTACTGCATATGGCTCCGGCCTGACAACAGATGCTGATGACTACGAAAACGTCAGTAAACAACCGATTCAGGAAGCAGTACACCAACGAGCGCTAATGGTAATGGCAGCTGCTTATGGATCGCTTGTCCTCCTTAGCCGACTCATCACAGGATTCGGAGAGCAGGTTCGCAGGGTCGGTTATGGGGTACCGACCTCAGAAATTTGTTGGTGGCTTACATTCCTGCAACCAGGTTCGGCATTGACCGCAAACTCGTTTCGAGTCGAGATCTCCACGGCTCGAGATTAGTAAGGCTACGATTCTGTTTGACGACGTTCAATATCGGCGGTGTCTGGTGTTCACTCGGCGATGCGCCAAAGTAACAAGAAACGAGTAGCGGTAACTGAGACCCCGCGAATAGCTCTTTTGGTCTTTGCGATGGCCAGCCTCTGTGTGTGTCCCCGGAGATAATGGGACAGCACCGCCTCATCCTTGGAGTGGAAATGAGGAAATTGACGTTCGAGATCGCCGCTTTGTGCCCCTAAATTTAGCCTCGTATTTCTCTAAGAGAGCTGCGATTGGCTGAAACAGAACATCACTGCTGACGTAACAACCTTCTTCCCTTGAAGTCAACCTTGGGAAATGAAATTGCTAGCGGCGATTGAAGAACGGGGTACTCGGATTGGGATTCACTCCTTACACGGGCGCGAACAATTTGCGCTCCCTTGGCAGCTTGGAAGAGCTTGTTTGACGCATCGCGCAAGCCAGATTCCCGATCTCCATCACATCGCGAGCTAAGCTGAGCCACGCCCGCCGCCTCCTTGAGCACCACCAATACGAGAGGAGGGGGGGGCGAGCTTGGATGTTCCCCTGACCTCCTCCCACGGCTGGACTTCTTGACTCCTTACATATCTTCTATCGCTATTTCGTTGTCGTTTCCTTGTTACACTGTTCTTTGGTCTTTCCTCTGTCACGCGTCACCGGTCATCGTCACCCACGGCTCGGCCTTCTGTTTGGGTGCAGCCTCCGCCGTCGCCGCCCCGAGCACCTGGGGCTAGGCCACGTCTCCGACAGTCCCGACCCGCGTTGGGATTCCTTGAATTCTTGTCGACAGCCGACAACCTCACGTCCGCCATTCTTTCCTAATCACCTCCCTCCACCATGTCCGCCGCCCAGTACACCGCGCTGGGGAATCTGAGCCCGCAGGGACGATGGCGTCGCGTGCTGCTCATCGCCTTAGTCCCCATGATTTGCGCTTTCATCTACTATGCCTACGAGTCGTCTTTCATCCCCCCCAGCTTCAAGCCGCTGCCGTAAGAGCCCCGCTTGGCCCTGTGCCGGGCGTGTCAAACATCAACCTCGCGACTGACATGCGCTATAGCTCCAGCTCTAGCTCCAGCGGCCTCACAAATACGTCCAGCGAAGCCTTCAACCAGGACGACCTCTCTATGGCCACCGTCATCAAAGCCCTCTACAGCCCCATATTACACCCTATCGACGCCGCAAACTTCACCGACGAGGACGGAGATGTATACCGCCTGCAGGGCGAACCTCGATTCAAGGAGAAGCTGGGAAAGAAGGTACTGATTTTGGATATCGACAGCAGACCGCTGACAGGAGAGGGACAACTTATGAACCAGGAGCTGAAGTGGAAGGGCATGCGACCGCTGTCAGCGGGCATGCTCAGCCACTACATGTTCGGTGCGCACCCACCATCAACCCGATCCTACCTTGCAAAACAAAGCTGACTCACAGGTTCCAGCCATGATCCACGGCTACGACTACAAGTTCATGCGAGCGCCCGACTATCCAGACCGCTGGGGTACCTGGGTCAAAGTCCCCATGATGAAAGAAGCGCTCAAAACGCATGACTACATCGTCTTCATGGACTCGGACGTCATGTTCCACTACCCACACCTACCCCTCGAATGGCTCCTAAACTACTGGAACATGACGGCCGACACCCTCGCCATGATGTCTATCGACCCTGACGAGCCACAAAATTACGACGCCAAGGGGAACCGATACTTGAATACGGGGTTTGTCATCGCGCAGCAGAGCAAGCGCACCCAGGATATGTATAAGGCCTGGGGCGAGTGTCCATCAGAGACAAGGTATAAAGGGTGTTCGAAGTGGAAGCTCGAATGGGCGCATGAACAAGCTGCGTTTGGAAACTACCTCCGCTACGACTTCGACCGACCCGATGATATCAAAGTGCTTCCCTGCGTGGAAGCGAACGGTGCGCCCGAGGCTACAGACCGTGGTGGCTGCAAAGGCATCTTCGTGCGGCATTTCTGGGTCGACAAGGGCTTGCTTTCGAAAGGGCTTTCCGATTCCGTGATGCAGTATTTCCTGCCGAGACTGCATCAGTTGTATCATCAACAGGCTAGCGAGAATATTATCGATACAAAGGGGTTTAAGTTGGATGGTGTAGATTTGGTAGAGATGACGGAGCAGGAGAAAGAAGAGCTGAGGAATAGTGATGGGCAGAATCAGAAAGACGAGGGGTTTTGAGGTTCGAGTGATTAAAGAGTAAAGCAGAGCGAGCGTGCAAGCATATGATACCCCCATAACCGATTCGAGGACCGCATCTCGGATTAAAAGACTTCATTCCCCGTCATTTCTGCATCCATCTCCTCTTCCCCGCAAATCGAAATTCTTTTAGCAGCAAGAGTAGCAACAGCGCAAATGCAGCTTTGGTTTCATTGGGATTTCAGAAAATAGTACGTCGTTCTCGGGATGTTACTTATCGTTGGGATTGCATTATTTGGAGTTCCTGTCAGTCGGTGGCTTTGCCTGTGGGTCTGTGGCCACATTTTCGGTCGTACCTTGTTATTTCTCTCTGGTTCTGCTCGCTCCTGCCAGCCTCCACCACGCACGACCCTCGTCATACCTCCCATCACCTACCTCGGGTCCCGAATAGATGTCTATTGATGGATGTGTCGGAATAGGAATCGTATCTTCTTACTGGCAGCTGGGCGGCAGGATTATTGTAATATTACACAACATACTTGGGGCGTGTTTAGGAAGCGGGTTTTTTTTAGTCGGAGCATCGGGAGCTGGTATCGTTTCTACCTATCTTTTTACATGCGTAAGGAAAGCATGTTTGGTTCGTAAACTCATGGTTCGTAAACTCTTGGGAACAAGATGCTCATCTAGTACAAAAAAAACACCATCTTTTTCCCCTTTCCCGGACGCATGGGCTTTCTTGTGGCGGGAAGCGGGCGAACACGGTGGCGATAGTGCAGCCAACAGGTTTTGGATTTGGAGACTCAATTTTGGTCCGTCTTGCGCGAGCGATAGATCAAGCGATTGAATGTCCGCAGCTTTGGGTAGCTAGCCGGTGGGCTGGCTTGCTTTTGGTTACTTGTTGTCAGTGGCCTGGGAGGGCTAGAGGCTAGAGTGTTGTAGAGTAGCATATTTAAAAGTCCCTGGGAGAGGAGTGTTGGCAATTCAACATGTTTCCGCAGCTTGAGAGTGTTTATGAGTGTATATGTTGATTAGTAATGCGAGGGTGTGGGCGAGAGTTTGAGGATGCGGACGGTGTTAGGAGGGGTGGAATGGGATGAGGTGCTTGCGGGATATGTGGTGTATGGTGAAAGAGATGGTAGTTATGCGGGAAGTGAGTGGTTGTTGTAGAGATGGGGGTGAGTTGAGAGAGGTAAAGAGGGTATTGGGGATTGCTGGCAACCCATGACAAGGAGGCTGGTGCTCCTGTGTCGCATCGCACATTCCATCCGTTCTTGTGGTCTTTCCTATTCCTTCCAGTAGAGTGAAGATCGGCGTGGGTCAAGACAGAGTAACGCCTGGAAGTTGTTTCTCCTCAGCTCCACGAAGGTTGGTCCTCTTGTGTCCATTGTACGTTTCAGCAAGTATTACTCTGCACCTTGTCTATACTATAAAATCACTCCGAATATGTTGTGACTGAAATTGGATTCGGATACGCAACTAACCAAAAACACCAGGTGTGACAAGTAGAGGGTGCTAACGGAACATTATGAGGGGGAAGGTATTATTAGAGCAGTAGGTCTCTGTTACCAGCGTTGCAATCGACGGAGTCTGTGGTTGTCTAACACTATCGCAAGGTATTGGTAGAGTCAAAAAGAGATGCAGGTTTGGAATATTGTTGGTACAACACCGGGAGTGTATATTATTAGGTCATAGGCGTTATGGCAGCCGCACCTACCCGTGTACCACTTTTGCTCTTAATTCGCTGTCTTCAACCGTTCATGTCGCTATCATGTGACTCTCCAACACTTGTTGCTAAGGTAGCAATATTGTCTAGGCTAATTAATTATTTTAGCAAGCATTGTCCTACACCTTCTCTATTCTATGTCAGCATTATCATCCTCATCAGTTTCACTTAGTTTTCGGCCTCACCGACAAGTAGTACAAATTCCTTTCACTTTCACCTTCAGCCTTAACCTGCTTTGCTTCTTGTGCGTTTTTCCTCTATCACACTCGTCCACCCCATGATCATCCTCCTAACTACTCACTGAATTCCTAGCTCCATAGAATATCTTCGTAAAATTGAAGGCGGAGGCGTCGCCTTCAAGTAGCTACAAAGGGTGACAATCTATGGACGTAACGTTTAATAACTACCATGACGGGTATCTAGACGAATGGATAGCCTTGACGATGGCGCAACGGGGAGATGGCGTGGCTTTCGAGTGCAAGGGGGATACTTTGTTTGAGGATGCAGGCCTGCATTTGGAATCGGGGGTATCCAAGTGGCTGAGAAACTGGTGAGAGATAAGGTGAAATTCGGAGGAAATCTGAGATAGAAAAGCGTTTCAAACATATGTTTTTGAATGTGAATGCTGTGGCTCAGATATAGGACTAAATTTTTGTTCTCTAGACACGGCGGTTAATATATACAACGATCAGGCTTCGGTTTGTCGTCCTTTGTGTTCTAGGGGATGATATTCTGCTTAAGGGCACAAAAGCGTGACTATATATTCGGCCTAATTCCTAGCTTTCTCATGCCAATATACGCACACATAGCGATAATTACAAGAACACATCCATACCCTCAGGAGCTACCCACGACCTTAGACTGACGATATGGGGAGAGACAGTCGGCGAAGACGTACGTTGGGACCGCGATGGCGAAGGCTACAATATATAGGGATCAAATATTGCTAGAACCTGCCCAGTTTACCCTTTCTCTTCTTTACGCAACGTCTTAACATTCACCTGATACTGTATGCAACAATCTATCAACGCTCCTCCTGAGCTCTATCCCTTGTTAGTAGAGTCACCGTGACAGTTATACAAGAGACATAAAATAAACTATTAAACTAAAATAGCGTAGAACAAGCCTGCTTATGTACCTAGTTAATAGTAGGCTAAAATGCGCTTTTTGCAGCTCGCCCTCGACTGGAAAGCCTGTTTAGCTAACTAAAATTTTATATTAGTTCTCTAGAGGCCCCTACATTCTTATACGACTCCCGGGTACTCTTACTATCTAAGAGATCCCTCTACTTAATTAGGTATTGCCTGGACCTTCCGCAACGTCTCTAGCTCGAATTGCGACGACGACTGCCTCTCTGATAGGTCGAAGCCGTCATCGTCGTCTTTATTAACCACTGTAATGACCTGCAACAACGAGTGTACAGAGTCAGACTCGTTGCTCGGTGCGCTATGCCGCTGCTGTGAATATCTCATGCACAATATAAAGGTGCTCGATTGAAAAGGGCTTCCCGACTAGCCTGGAAAGTGAGCAGCTACTTGATCTTAGTCCACGTTCATCCTATTCTTGTACGCGATTAAGCGGGCGTCGTCCGATTCTAGCCACAGATTTCCCTCGCTATCTTTCGTCCTTGGAAAGGCTGTTGGTGAGGAATAAAACCAAGTTGCGCTACCTGTCCTAGCCCTAGACAGTTAACAGCGCTAGGATGATGTTACATTTGGCGCGTGAATACAATCGTGTGATTATTAGGGTCTTATCGCGTATGCCCCGCTAAGAATATCCCACTGAATGCTGAGCTTGAGCATACCCTTACGTAAGGTGTTTCAATCCCTCGTTTTATCTAGAAGGATTCGAGCATCGGACACTTAAATTCAGCCCCTTTCCCCTACCTTACTGGTTCCTTTCCGTGGGACAGTGGAATGGCATCTGCGCTTCAACCTTTTACCACTTAACCTACGACTCAGAAGCGAAGAGAAACTCTCCTTTATGCCTTGTTATGATATAAATTTTATCCTATACGCCGGCATGTCTTCCTACGAACAGCCACGTACCATCTTTTATGCCCTTCTCGCTCTTAGCCTCCACGTAATTGCCTACGCCTCGGATCTTGACACCGTTTCCTGAAATTTCGGAAACAACAATGCACACCATGAAGCGCCTCTTATAAGCGCAGACGATCCGATGCGAGTCCATGGATGGTACATTATCCATCTACGTCCTGGTCATACAATGGAGAAGCACTCTGAAGCTGTTGGAGTGGACATGGAAACCTATTCGCACGGAGTTCTGGATACCGTGTATCCGAACAACGTGGCATATCTGGGAAGAGATATTGATAAGGATTTACTGAAGCGGGTTCGAGAGGATCCTGGGGTTGAGTCTGTAACTTGCGACGCCCGACTGCCGCAGGTGAAGGAGTGAGATGCTATGAAAATGTCTGCCTTGAAATTGCACAGGAAGTCTCACGTTTCCTCAAATCTGGCGTAAAGACAAGCTATACCAGCGGCAAGTTCGACCTGACGAACATATAAGAGATAGAAGATACTTAGAAGTTGATTATCTAACTTCCTGATTCACTAAAATTTCATCATGCTCAGCATCGTCTTGCTTTTTGGGACTCTGGTGAAGCTCACCTGGACAACTCCGGCACCTTTTTACGGAGATTCACACCACCACAATGCACTCATTAGGGACTCTTACACTGTGAAGTTAGGCAAAGGTCACACTCTCCACGATCATTGGCATAACATTGGGGTAAGCGAACCGGACTTTCGCCTCTCGTCAAAAAGCTAGATCAGTGTTTCTCTGCTCTGTCGTGGCCTTCTAGAGGGTATTTGCTACTTTGTGTTTTGCCCAATTCTAGTTGAGCTGCGCTAATGCATAATTCGGGGTATAGAAAAACCTCTCTAACACTTCGGCTTCTTTCCAGTGTGTCTAACTGTTAGTTACGGAGCCTTTTAGAGGCTGTATAGTACAGTTACAGAAGAAGAGGCTGTCACTAACTAACTGTACAGAGGAGATAACGTTAGTGTGCAGTTAGAATACAGTAACTAAAGTATATTAAAGTATTATAAAGTAATTGCGCTAAAGCTAAAAACTATACTTAACGTACTTCACAGGCAAGTTGCTCACACACCTAAGTTGCTTACTTTTGCTAAGACTCTACTAAACTACTTTTCCTACACTAATGCGTTCCTAACAACACTACTTAAACGCGCTAAAAGAATGTTAGATATAGCTTACACTCTAAGCTTTTAAATAAGACATAAAACTTTTAAAGAAACATGCTGCAGCTATGTATAAAGTCTCTTAAAAGATAATAAATAACTATAGCGCTAGACAACTTTTATAAGCTAATTCTATAGCTAACTTATAAAAGCTAGGTAATAAAAAGAAGTAGATAATTATTAAGACTATACTTAAGCTATATATGTAAGAATTTTCCCCTTAGATAGCATTTATAGCTAATATAGCTAATTCTTTACATGCTAAGCATAATCTAGGCTATATTAGCATAAACTAGCCTAGTATGTTTATAAAGTGTTATTTAAAGCTTAAAGTAAAGTTTTAAGTGTAAGTATAGTTAATAAATATTTAGCCTATAATAAAGCCTGTTTTACTAAAGTTATATGTGTTATTATTCTAGATGCTATACTTAGCTTTAATATTCTTTATAAGGCTAAACTTGCCCTAAATTACTTTAAGACCCTTATAGAGGACTCTCTTATAGTTATACTACGTGTAAATGTTACTTTAAGGTCTAGATAACGCTTTTTAAACGTACTAGGCTAGTTTATGCTAACATAGCCTAGATTACACTTAGCGTGTAAAGAATTAGCTATATTAGCTATAAATGCTATCTAAGGGGAAAATCCTTATGCATATAGCTTAAGTATAGTCTTTGTTGAATGGGCTCTGACAGCTAGCTGCTTATGGTATGAGCACTTAAGTAGCAAGAGTAAGAGTGGTGTACAGTGTGCACAGCGTACAGGGTAGGTAAGGTGAGGGCAACATGTTTCTAGTTCTATTGCTCTTATCTTTCCTCTATATAGAGGAAAAAGAGAGATATCTAGATGTTTGCGCACAAAGGTTTGCGCATAAGCATTATGTAACATAGATATGTAATCCTGCTTATGCGCAATTATTTATATCTAGGCTGCAACACTGCTGCTATATACAGACACTAGCAACTTTTTTTTTTATCTAAAAAGTTACTTTTTATATATGTTACCTCTTTTTTACTTATGTAGGTTTATTTAATTATGTTCTGCTTTTACTTTACCCTATTTATTAAAACTTGCCTTAGTAATGCTATACATTAAGATAAGCTAGTTGCGCTATATAAATAGCTTTATAAATAGTATAAAGTGTTTTAGGCTATTATTATCTAGCCTTTATGCGCTTACTTTATAAGTAATTTAGTAGTATATAAACTGTTTTATGCAAAGTTTTATGCTAAAATAGTGTAAAATCTTTATGTAGGCAGGTGCGTAAGAAGGTGTATATAATAAGGTCTTTTTTTTTTCTTTACTTTTTTTTCTTTATTTTTTACTTTCTAAGCTTTACTATACTATTCTCTAGCTCTTTTCTTTTTTTATACAGTGCTAACAGTAACAGATACTCCTGCCTGCACACACACACACACACACACATAGAGAGAGAGAGAGAGAGATGTCTCTCTAGCCTTCCTCCTCTACCTCTAGCGCTGTCAGTGCAGGCGTCTTTAACGTCCTTGTGCAGTCTAGCAGCCTAGGGCGCATTTGTGTTACTTTTTTAACTAGTTTTACTACTAATTAGCAGTTTATTTAGTGTCTTAGCATAAATATATAAATCCTTTAGCTCTTCTGCTTTCTCTTTGTACAAAATACTAATTATAAATAGGCTAAAAAGTAGCATGTAGCAGCTTTACTATTTTATAATATTAATGTTATCTTACTTACTAGCACTAATCTGCAGCTATAGGCAGCAAAAGTTATGTGTTATAAAAGGTACTTTTATGTAGTTTTAGTCTAAAGTTATAGTTAAGTCTTAGTAACTTTATATGCTTATTATTATAGTAGCACTACTAGTGCCTTTTTTTTTATTAAGTGTTATGTGTTAGCTAACTTCTAGGCTAATGCCTATACTTTATGCGTATAGCAGAGCTGTGGTCTGCATTGTAACTATTATATATAAGGGGTAGTAGCTTTTTCTTCTTTTATATATTAAATAAATAGACTGTTTTTTTTACATATTCTTCTCTTCTAATCTTATAATAGGAAAAATAAGTGTGTATAATAAAAAAAATAAAAGAGATAAGCTTTATATAAAAGTGTTATTAGTCTAGTTAGTCTAGAGCATCTTTGCACATAAGATCTAGCTAGTCTACAGATGCTTTTATCTAGACAGAGAGGCAGTTAGTTAGGACTAATAATTAAAAAGCTTAGTTTAGTGTTTTTTTTATATATGCATTTACTAAGTTATTTTTACTATTAATTTACTTTATTTTAGTAATTTCTTTTTTCTTGTATAATTTACAAAGTAATATAATGTTAATTATAAGTTACTTTTTACTAGTAGTGCCTAGCTTAATAAGGTAATTATATAGAGACCTTAAATCTATATAGATTACTACTAGAATTAGTAGCAGTTTAAGTGTTTATATAATTTACTATAAAGTTATACTAAAAGTAATTATATTATTAAACCCTTTAACTATTTTATATAGTTTACTAGTAAAGACACTCTTAGTTACTCTTTTACACTTTGTAGAATTCTAGTGTATAATATTACCTAGTATTTTAAAGTAGTTACTTTACTTTATATAGTTTTTATTACTTAATATAATTAAAAATCTTAGCTATAAGCTAAGGTTCTTATTATTAGTAAATAATTTATCTATAAAGATAAACAGCTTTACATAATTAAGCTATAATAGTAAAAAAGTAAGACTATGCTTACTATTATCTATTTACTATTAGATTTATACATTAAGTGTGTTAATATTATTATGTAAAAAGTCTATAGTTTGTGCAGTAATAAAAAGGTTAAATACTACCTTTAGTTAATACATAGATGTAATATATGCCCCTCTTATATATTACTTAATATATTATTATGCAGCATCTTTATTCTTTAGGTTAATTATATAAAAGTAGCTTACTTATCTTTTTTAAGTAAAAACTACTATGTTATGTGTAAGTTTAATTCTTCTACTATTAAACTTAATAGGCTGCTTCTCTACTAAAATAGTCTTACTTTTTATATAAAACTTTACTTTTTATAGTTTTTTCTTTTTTTTTTATGTAAAATCTTTTGTTATAATACTTAAAGTGTTATCTATTTATAGGCTAGTAATACTAAAAGTGTGCTCTTCTTTATTAGTAATTAAGAGGTAAAGGTTATATAAAAAAATGTATATACACAGCTTTTTTTTATAGTAGTTATAGTATGTTTTAAACTAATACAGTCCTAATTAGTAGCTCTATATAAAGGTTGTACAACCTAGAGTATTATATTTAGTAGAAAGCTCTAGCACATCTTCTTTAGTAGCTTTATGTACAGTGTGCACATAAGCTTATCTATTAATTAAATGTATACTTATGTAATATTATATAGTTTAAAATGCATTTTATACATAGCTTTTAGGCTTACTTTTATAGCTAAGAGTAGTCTCTAGCTTATTTTTTAAATAGTTAGTAACTAAGTAAGAATTTTTTTTTTTTTTATTTAAGTAGCTAGTAAACACTAGGCAGAATTTTTTATATAGTTAGGTTGTTTTACCTTTTACTTTTTATATAAGGTAAAAGTTAAAAATCTAACTTTTATGCTTTATTAAGTTATACACTATAACTTTAAAAGTGCTGTTAGTAATTAAAGTGTTTATTTTTATATAGTTTAATTTCTTAAATAGCTTTTTAAGTGTAGTAATTACACTATCTATATAAAGCTTAATAAATAAGGCCTAATTATTCTTTTTTTTCTAAGTTAGAAATACTTAGTCTAGACTTTATATAAGTTTCTTTTACCTTTTACTTTTTCTAGTATTTATATTTTCCTTTTGCACTAGTGTAGCATTACTATCCTAAAAGGCTTAGTTTATAGTAGGCTTTAGTTCTACTTTTATAATATTTTTATAAAGTAGTTTTTTTTTTTTTTTCTTTAAAAAATCTTTTTATATAGAAATTAGTTTATCTAGGTTATTTATTATAAGTAAGTTGTCTTTTTTTTTTTTTTATAGTATAGTTTAACCTATGTACATTAAAGCTTTAGTAGGCTATTTTTTCTTTTAATAATAATGTTTCCCCCTTTAATGCTTTTAATTTTATATAGGCTAGTCTAGCCTTTTTTCTCTTTTTATGCTATAATCTTTAAGCTAAGAGGGAAGTTAAAAACTTTATGTGTTATAAAGCTATTATAAGTATTAATTATATAATTAATGTTTACTTTTATATAGTTTTTTTAAAGTATCTTTATTACCTTTTATACAGCGCTTGCTTATGTAATAATATCTAGTAATAGTAAAAAGTCTAGGTTAATTCTTAAGTATGCCTTAAAGACTAGCAGTGTAGGTACTAGACTGTGTAGGCTAGCTGTGTTGTTTAGAGCCTTAACTGCTATCTATAGAATAGCCTTATTATCTGTACAGTTACCTAGCTTAGTCTTTAGGATGTTAAACACTTATTAAAGAGGTGCATACGCGCGCTTAACCTTTCTAACTGCCTAATGTGCTTCTATAGGCATCTGCCTATATGTAGCTTTTATAATTTTTACACAAGCTTAAAAATTTTTTAAAGTAAAGTTTATACTAAAGT